GTTGATCCTGCTGATGCTGGGCGTCAGTCTGCAAAGTAACCTCCCAACTTGTTGTTGCTCCCTTGGAAGCGAAATGGGCTAAGTCTGATACCCCCTTGAGGAAGTTCTCAAGTCTTTGTCATGGAGTGTCCAATTCAATCACTATTACTCCATATTATATCCACATGCTTACTTGTTGATAGTAGCTTCTTGTTATTAGTAGTAATGCCAGGAGCTACTAGTAGCGTCCTTGCTACTAGTAGCCATGCGCTTTGTTACTAGCAGCGTCCTTTGTTACCATTTTAAGTGGAAATTTAAGAGGCCATTTCATATATTCACAGGGATGTCCACCAAGATCAACCAATCCTATGAGCCCTATGGCGCCCAGCTTCCACAGCATCACCTGGCCTCTCAAAGAACTGCTCGGTGTAGCCGCCTCAGCCCACGCGGTGTGACGGGCGCTTTGCCCATCTTTGCCCCATCCAGCTGACATATTCCACATCACGCATATTCTGAGAGGGTTCAAAAGCTAGTGAACACTATGATGAAGGGTCCTTTCACCATTTCACATACAGTATATAGTCATTTTGTTTGAATCATCGTGACGTGATGACGTACAAGCATGTCTGCAATACATGCAGCTGTGAATGGTTCCACATGGGAAACATTTGGAACCATGTGAAATACAACAACATCCAATTTCAAAGCAAAAACGAAAAGCGTCTCTGTCCTGTTTGGCAAACTGCATTCAACTTGGGATAAGTGTTAACATGCCGTTCTATGACCCAAAAAAGGTCATGACCACCTGCACCGGTGTGCGTAGTCTGGAGACCGGTGTGCAACACCAGCACCAACCGAGGGATCGAAGACAAACATCTACACTCCCTGCAACTAACATGGTTACGTGGGTCATGGCCCCGAGTTCGGAAGACCATGAAATCCACGAACCAAACAGGTGGTGAACTCCACGCAACCACGGCTTGTTCCAGGGAGAGATAAGGGGCTTCACATCCCAGCACCATCGTGCCATGTGAATGCCTTCTGAACTGACCCGACCTCGACCGCCACGACCTGAAGCGGCCCGGCCTCGTCCTCCTTCATTCCAGTTCCTCCACCGCTTGCGCTCCTGAGCTGAGTATGGCCGTGGACGACCCTCCGAGCTGAGTCTCCAAGCTGTATGGGTCTTACGGGTGATTCGAAAACACCACCAGCATGTCAATTGGTGGACTCACCGTCCACAAGCTGTGACCAAGTAAGTAAAAAGGTGGTCTCGGGCCCCAGCATCGGGAGTTCAGAGATTGAACGGTGAACTCAGACATCCCCGTCAAAGGAGTCGTGGGTCAAATCCCAAGCGGTGGGATTGAGAACATTCGTATACAAATGGATTGGCCGCCATTGGCCATGATCAGTCCCAAGCGGAGTTCTAGAGCCGTTTCGAGTCCGAACTGAGGGGTGCATTCCGACCCCAGATATGCCGAGTGCATTCCTGAGGGTCGGCCTGGGTCGGCCAAGCCCTGGTAAGACTGATGTGTCTGACCAGTTTGGTATACGACTGATGTCAACTCAGCCAAGCCCTGTCTCCCTGTCTTTGTCTGCGAAACTGAGAGACATCCTTAAATGATTCTGAATGGGATGTAAGAGGGCTCGTTCGAAGGAAAATTTAGATTGGAATTGATCAATTGGCTGGGCCATGCCGTTCTCTGCACATGGAGTGTGTGGAAGGGCGTAGACAAATCTGGTCCTGAAGTTGGCAAACGGGACAATCAAAAGTCTTGACCACATTCCTCATCTTTCTTTCACATGTTCCATAAACGCTCGAGAGGATGAACATGTCCTATTCTGTAATATGGTGTTCCCTGAGGCCCTGCAAACGAACATTCCACTGAATCATTCATCCAAGACAAAGCTCGGTGAACATCCATGAATCTCAACTCTCAGGAGCACCATGTAGCACCCCTTTTCCTCCCTTTCTTGATGTGCTGTCCCTGGAAAAGTCATTGGCACCGCAAGTGCGGTTGCGGTTCTACTGGAGTTTCGTTTGCGCCTTGGCGCGGCCTTGGCATCTAGATAAATGTTGCCAAGTGGATTCAACTGGATTAGCAATCGCTTCTGTCAGGCTGCCACACTCATCAGCGAGAGATAAGCATGCGTGAGTGAAGTAAAGCGACTGTATGTGGGAATGTCACACCTGGAGGCCGAATCTGCTGACTCTCGTGGGCGAAAACGGGTGTTGGTTCTATGTGGTTCTCATTTGGTCTAAGAGTCCTCCCTTTTGGACATTCCCCGTGTGAAACAAACTAAACCATTGGCGGACGTGACATCAGCGTTCCTTTCTGCAGCGACATGCTCAAACCTTCTCTTGCTTTCACGCCTCGGAAGTCAGCCCTCTAACTTCTGATGGTATTACACATTGACATAGTGAGATGGTGCCCATCTTGTCTTTATCTTTGTCTTCACGATCTTTATCTACTCTCTGTGGGATGAGGGAAAACCGTTACCCTTTCCATCTGGGTGGGCGATCCGTCCAAACGATCCACGGACCACCGAAAAACCGGCATCTGAATAGCCGCTTGGCGCCAGCTCTCAGCCTCCACCGGGCCCGGGCCAAGCTCAGTCGCCCATCTCCTTCACGGGGATCCGCCGGCGCTCGGCCTGGACGCAGTGGTTTGGGCAGCCGGACACGGGGGTTTTGGTGTGACACCCGGCTTGTGGTGCGACGAGAAGCACAGGGTGCTCACCAGGAAGGTGTACAAATGTGAGATCGAGGAGGACTGCTTTGTTGTTTCCTGGGGTGGCTCCTAAGTTGCTATGAAGATCATCCAAAATCCCAAAATATATAACAACAATAACAGATTTTGCGACAAAGCCCTGGAAAGAAAATCCAGGCAAACGTGCTTTCGTTCGCATGAAAAACGTCTCACGGATAGGAACTTCCGCCCATGGTGGGTGCTGAAGCCTAACGTATCCCTCACGCATCCGATCGATGTCCCGATTCTTCTAACAACAAGAGTCACTGACATGATGGAAGTGGATGGCACCGCTTGTTTGTAATGGAAACACTTCGTCTTCCAAAGGGCCATGCCATCCACCTCCATGATGGGAGTGTAACCATCCACACTGGCACCTTCAAACGATTGTGCTCCAAGTTCCACCCAACTTGATGGTCCGAACAATCCACTTTCCACTGTAATGTGCAATCCAAAGGCTAAATCGGCAAACCGTGTACCATGTAGAGGCAGGCTTGTGGGCGTGCAAAGCTTTGAGACGGAAGATCCAAACAAGGTTGCTGAGTGGAACCCCCAAAACAAAAAGAAGCGACGAGTTTGGATTGGGTAGCCCAAGCTGAGAGGAAACCTTGGGAGTGCCTCTACAACGGCTTCAATTTCTTATATGCGACAAGCAACCAAAAACATGCATCCGTAAACTGGTAATCCGCAATCCGGATACACGTTGGGATCAAGTTGGAACAGTCTTCACACAAAAAAAATAGTGCTCAATCTTGATTGATCCCAACAAGAATATCATCCAAAATCAATGTCGTTCAGTCCATCTTCTTGGTCGAACTTCTGGTGGCCCTTGGTCTTGCAAACTGCTTGTGGGATTCTGCTCGGTTCCCTCCATCCGGTCTACACCGGCCCAAGTGGGGAATAAGGACTTCCGCTGCCGAGACGAGGACTTCCGCTGCCTCGTCTTCCTTGTCGCCCGTTTTCACCTCGCGGTCCCAAAGCGATCGGAGCGTGATGGTTCCAAACATGGTCAATCCCTGATGGACACACCAAGAAGGGCGAAAGTGGTTTGCTCCAGGGGAGCCATGACGGTTTCCTCAAACCAGCACCCATTCTGCTCCCGGTGTGGTTCTTTCACATGGTAGGGGGGGGCAGGGGTTGGAGTTCTACAAGTGATGAAGGACTCCCAAGACCGCACTCAGACTTATACAGTATGCCCAGTCAGTGACCGATGTGAGCTACCACCATCTGAGCAGCACCTGAAAAATCGCAGAAAGTGGTTATAGGGAACTTCCTGTAGCGAGACCGCATTCTCCGTTTCAAAAGGTTTAATGCTTATAGATGTCCCCCAACCCATACTCAACGTCTTCTTTTGGAAAAGGCATATAAGACCTTTTAACGCCAGCTCCGTTCCCCAACAGGTCACCAATTCAGACCTTTGAACTCCTTTCAAGGCCCATCCGTGAACGCGGCCGTGACCGGGCAAGCCACCGCTGCCAGTGTGTCGCTGGTCTCCTCTGGGCTCAGCGTGGGCTCTTCCTCCTGGCACGGAGCGGCCCGCCAGCCCCGTGGCACCGAACTCATGGCAGATCAGGGTTGCACACACCAAACCTCATATGTCTATATTATATATTGCAAGTCAACTGCAAGTTTCACAGTCCAGTTCCATTTTCTTGACTGATGCAAAGTTATGGCACCGGACCCCTCGAACACCCCGACATGGAACTCTAATTAGGTTCTCTAATGGACCTTCCACCCCACACAATGTCCGGTCGTTTTATGCTTGATGTGTGTTTTGTGATTGTGGATTTTGTGCCGTCGTTGGTGTTTTTTCTGCGTGTGCTTTGCGCTGAAAATTGGGTCAATGACCAAAATATACCAAAACTAGCAGAATTTGTTGGTCGTTGGAAGATCCAGGCTGATTCTTGTAAGGCATTTTCTCAAGTTCACAGCAATCGCCCAAGAGGAGTCATATTGGAATAGGAGCCCGTGATGCTGTGGTTGCTCACCAAGGTGGGATGTAACTGATGACACCTGTAGAAATCCAACCGCCCAGCCCGCCCTTTTCATCGCGAAACGGGCGGCGGTCGTTCTATGCCGTTCTGCTTCGCAGCCCTAACAGGTGAAACGTGAGCAAATCCAACAGGAGGTTTAATGCACACTTGGCGTGCAAACCCGCCGTCCAAATAGAACAACCATGTCCGGACGTCGTTAGGGACGTCAGTGCCGTTTGGCAAATAAGCTGAGCTTGTTTGCACAGGCACCATGGTTTTAGCACTAAATCAATTACAGTATCTACTTTTTCTCTTCCTGGTAAACGCGCTTGTACCATACAGCAAACTCTGGATACACCTGGTCGTCATCATAGACCACAAATTCTCGAAATGTTCTTCGGCACTTCTCACGGTCACCTAGAAGACTGTGGTATTGCTTGTCGCGGATCTGCCGCAATAAGCCTTGAAATAACACATACGACACTCGGCAACACTCCGAGACTAGAACGACACAACGTTCAACACATTATTTCCAATTCACCCACTTAAACTTGTCTACCAGTTAGGTTCGTCTAACTTCTTTTGGAGATCATTGCACATTATACATGTGTATCATGTTCTACACTGGCATTGCTGTTCTTCCCTCCAACCTTGTTGATGCCAGAGAGTGCGTAGCTTCTGATCTGAAGGTGCGTGGGTGTTGTCTTGATTGAACAATGTCAGAACTGTTGTCAAAGCTTCCCCTTGCGCGGTGTTTTGTTGAGACATGGGAGAAGCACTCCACCACAGGCATCAAACATTGCCCTCAAATCTGCATTGGGAGACTAACTGGCAAAGTTGCCAAGTCTATTTAACGTATCCTGTGAGTTTCTGCCGGAATTTCTGATGACCCTCTGCCTGTTCATGGTCAGATTCTCGGCCAAATGTGCCCCCCCACCAGTGGTGGCTTTACTTGGGAAGAACATCGAAGAACCACTCCCAAAGACCCGTCGGACCGGCATATTTACCCGTCAATTGGGTGGTTGAAAGGTTGCAAAAAAAAGTTTGGTATCTCCCATTGCCAGGGCCCAGTGGATGATGATTGATGATGGTTGCTAAAGGCTTTTAAAAGAATCGATTATCTTTTACCAACCATTGCGGGCAATGGGGCACACCCAAGGTCAATGTAGCAAATCTTCCAATCCGCGTCAAATCAATGGTTGCAGTCAAGCTACAGTCCAGGTTTGGACTTACATCGTCGTTGTACAAAATGTTTCCCAGCACGGCCCGGCAAAGAAGGATACCTGGCGATGTTCTCGATTCATCACCCGATTGTTCAAAACGAACTGGTCGATCAAGCACATGGGTCGAAAGTGAGAGACTCTTGTTTCAGGCCTCCCATGAAGAATAGCTATATAGGGATCTGCCCAACAAAAATCAGCCTAAGCAAACTCAGGGATACATCGATGTCCATCGGAATTCTCCCGGGAGTATTCGTCGGACTTGCTGCAACTTTCCGCCAAATAAATGCCTCGACCGTATAAGGTCCCAGCGTTCGAACCGGCTTTGTCCACCAAAAAGTCACCGCGCGTGATGAGCTCAGCCGCTTCACTGGATGTGCCATGAAAGAGCCAAACCGTGTTGCTGTCTTTGTCATCTTCATGGGAATGCATGTCCATTTGATCAGTCTTCAAGTTGTTCAAGACGTGGCCGATGTGCTTTTGATAGCACAAGTCACACAAGTCATAGTCACATTGCTCACAGCCTTGGTTGCGCGTGAGGAAACATACTGTAAAGCAATCAGTGTGCTGAATCGTATATCGACCATTATATAACGACTATTGACATCTATTGACTATTGACTTATAAACTGCCTCGACAAATGTCAACTCTCAAACGTACTCGAGTGCTTCACCATTCCGACGAAGAATCCACCAAGAGTTCTTACACAAGCTGACCGTTTTGTTCCGCGGCCCGCTCTGTTGACCATGTTTGTTGGCCCGCTTGTCCATCGGCTCAGTTCCACATCGGCTCCGGTCAAAACCATACGGGAAGGAAGGTCATTGACAAAGGGCCCCAAAACACCCCTTCGGCGCACGTTTTCCAACACCGGGAATTGGGAGTCCTATATAGACCTCACTTCGGATCACATGTTTGGTACCTGACGGCGCCGCCGCTAGGAAGAAGTTAGAGTTAAACAAATCAAATCAACATATATCAACCTCCCTACTAACCCTTTTTACCTGCACCATCCCTGCACCTATAGGTATAATAAACTATAATACTATATAATGCATTGTCCTCACTTTTGGTTCACATGTCAAACTTCAACTTAGTCACGATATCGGTCCACCCCCTTGGTCTTGCTGTCACGAAGGCAACCTTGCTTGGTACGCTTGTTGTCACAAAACCAGCCATTATCCTTCGTGGTGCCTCACAGAACAGCCGCGTGCCGCGTGCCGGGAGGAGACGATCAACAGTCCATGTGTCGTGTCAATGTGGCAGCTTGCCGATCCAGAACTGGTCCAATCCAAACTCAACGCCATCCAAGGGAACATCAGGGGATCCATCCCCAGAAACTCCATGGAACAATTTCGGAAACACGCAGGGAAACCATCGAAGATCCGACTTCACTGGACAAGGGTGAGTTCATTTCTGGGAGGATTCGCACCGGAGGACTCACAATTCATCAAAGTTCGCACCTAGAGGAGTCAAGGGATGGCCCTTGAGGCAAAGCTTCGCTCCAGTCCGCAAGATGTAGCACTTCTCGCAGTAGTCGAAGTCGCAGCGATCGCAGCGAAAGCGGTTCATGCCCTTCGTTTGATGGAAGCCCGTGATTCCTGCACCCGTGTTAGAAGCTGAGATGCTCAAATTTGTTTCTGAAAAAAAAATCCAATCAAAACAGGTTTCCCATCCCTACAGGGTGGTGGAAAAAACGGGTAAGGAAACGCTGCAGCACCCGATATGGGAGGTGCTCGGTGGTTCACGCGCCCGAGCACCATTAGGCGGGGTTGGTTCACGCGAGTTCCACCATCTTCTCCTGAGAGGCAGCCGCCATCACTGCGAGCATCGCATCCCCAGCCATTGTCTTCGGAGGTGCCCAGGGGTTCCAACTCGTGGCCATTTGCACAAACACCTTTCTCGCCTTTCTCCTGACGAGAATCAGTCACCAAGGCGGAGATGTGTGACACCGACACCATTCATCACCATCCAAACACCAGTGGTTTCTCCAAACGGCCGGGAACATCCCAACCACTCCTGAAGCGAGGAGACGGGAGACAAAGACTTTGAGACCAAATGACACCATGTAATTAGCCATTCTTCACACAGCCAAGGGGTGGTTTATAGACCCCCTGAGCATGTAATGTTCCATCTAATGACCACCCGTTGGGTGGTGCTGGAACGTTCTCCTTCAGTTTCTCGATCTCTTCCAGAATCTCTTGTTGCCTCAGCCGGAACTCTGCCCAGTTTTGCAGGTTCTGGATTCGATCCACGCGCACCACTTCGAAGCCATCGGGGACCTCGACCAGCTGTGTTGTTGGGCCCCCATCTAAAACAGCAGCAGCATCAACAACAAAAACAACAGCAACAGCAACGGCAACAAGGACTACTACCACTTACCTACTTGCCTACTTATCACTACGACTACGACTATGACGACGACGACGACGACGACGACGACGACGACGACCACCACCACTACCACTACCACCACTACCACTACTACCACTCCTACTCCTACTCCTACTCCTACTGCTACTGCTACTGCTACTGCTACTGCTACTTCTACTACTACTACTACTACTACTACGACTACGACGACTACTACTACTACTACTGCAGCAACAACGACAACAACAACAACAACTACTTCTACAGCTACATCTGCAATGCTAAAAACAAACAATACTACTACCACCACCACAACGACTGCAATGAAAACAACATGGATCCCGACCAGAAAAAAACTCAAACTGAATTACACGTTTTGTCAAATTCAACTATAAAGCTTTAGTCAAACCCACCACTCCATTGTCTGGCACTTGGTATGTGATCATCTGAGCTTAACAAATTTGAACATCCAACTTTTCCGATCAAGCAATGATAATACACACACTGAAATCAGGAAAGTGTGATAATTGATGATATGTGAGTTGGAATCCCCAATGTTGCAATGACAAGTTCGTGAGCCACGTAATCGAATAACACATGCTACCAAAAAAACAGCAACCACGGTTGATGACATGATGAACGATACTTGGAAAAAAACTACGGCAACCTCTGAACATGCAGCGTCTATATAACGCGGTGTTGTTGGAGGATTGGGGCGCCCATTATCTGCTCACTTAGGGTCTACACTAAGGACTCATTTTTCTTCCGCGGGTTCTTTCTGTTTGTTGGAACACCGCGCCTTTGCACCCTTGCGATCACGGGTGTAGACCTTCTTGTGTGTGGAGTCAAATAGTTTCCTGGGAGGAACAGCTCAACAAAGCAGTGAGCCAAGGTGGTAACGAAGTGTGCTATGAAGGGAGGTAGCGGGATCCAACAATATCCAGCAAACCACCCCTGTGATCGCAAAAATCTGCCTAAGCCTTGGGAATGGATGTCCACCAGGGCATGGCAACTGATTGTTCTCAGTAAGAAATGTTTGGACTTCTCTCTCTACCTAGAAGCTGGGGCGAGTTGCTATTGAAGTATTGCCGAATATTGCCGAATCCTGTCATAAGAATGAAGGACGTACGGCCTATAGTCTATATGCAAAAGAACACATTCGTTTCGCACTCAATCTTCTGGTGATTGACTTTGCCCCTCTCAGTGTTCTACCTTCGTGCTTCACACATCATTGCATCCACAAATGCGTTTGCTGGTGGTTTCAGCACCACACATCCCAGTCTGGGTTGACCGTCCGCTTACGCCATGCTACGCCGGACCTACGCCATGCTACCGCGCGGGTTTGGGCGCCGACCGGCCGAACGGGCGGGCGTTGGTACGAGGAGTCCAGGTCGACTGTCTCCACATGGAGCTCAGCTGAGTCTGCAGCTCAGCTCAGCTGAGTCTAGGGATGTCTCCAAAATACGTGGAAGCTTTTTATGAACAAACCAACTCCAGGTGGACAACCTTCAGTTTTTTATAGTTTTTTATGTTCATGCACCTCCAAAGTCCAGGCTTTAGCCAAGGTGCGCATGACTTGAAGGTACTGTGTGGGAGGAACGGGAACGACAAAAGTTCTATACAGTTCTGATGTTTTCTTGGTATAACATGTGTTTACAGTAACCGTGTGCGCTTGCCTTGTCAGCAATTGGTTTCGAAGAAACACAGAGTTTGGCAGAGCCCAAAGCTTGTGGGTGCGAAAGCGACAATATACCGCCTTTCAGGCGCAATTCAAGTGGAAAAAATCAAAGCTCTGCAATCCAATGAGCCAGGGCACTGAATTGCATCGATTTCCTTCTCATTGAGGGGAATCTTTGCAAACTTGTTCAGAGTTCCTTCTTCTGTAGGACTTAAGCCGTTTCCCATCTCAATATCTTCCAAAATGCTCTTGTCCCAGTACTCAGGGATCAACGAAGCGTGCACTTCCATGTTGGTGGCCTTCAAAGGTCCCTCTCGTCGTTCCATTGCCTTGGACTCCAATGGAGGTCGGGCTTCATGGCACTTGTCACAGAGATCGAAATCACAAACCTCAGGGGATCAGAGGATCGAAGGATCTTCAACACGGCGGCGGTTCTGAAAACGAGCGTTTTTCTGCGTGCGCGTGTTGATGCGCGTGTTGAGCAGGTACTTCCGGCCCGCCTCGCAACGAAAGCGGAAGATGCCCTTGGATTTCTTGTAGCCTTTCATGCCACGCTTGCACTCACCAAAGAGCTTGTTTCCATCGCAACCTCGCACCGGGAGCAGCAAAAACAGAACTCCTCCACCCATTTCCAAAGTAGTGCCCAGCTAAAGCCACGGCTGAGGACACAGCCCGATTAAACTCATGAGGCACATTGGATTGCCCCAAATAGATGGTGAGCTGCCTCCACTGTCAAAAACGCTCTAGACACTGTTCAGTAAGTTCGTGGAGACAGCCGGAGACAGCGTCTCCCAACACCCAAACGCCCACGAACCCCCGGTGACCGACCGTCCGGGCCGTCCGCGAACAAAAGCACCAACCCCTGGGATCGATCCCTCGACAAATCATGTCACCAGAGGCCGGATCGAGGCGGATCTCCCCTCCAAGGCTAAGGGACTTATCGACTGGACAAGACAAGCCAGCTGGTGGATAAAGGATTCACCGACTGGACCTGTACTGCACCTTTCGTACAATCTACCAACATAGTAACTGTATCAAATATTGAAATAATTGAAAGTCTGCGGAGGAGTGGGATGAGAAGGCCCTGCTGAATGGTTCCTGTCAAATTGGAGCTCCGATGCGGCATGTTTTGTAAGATCTTTGGATCCCTCGCCCTCCCGTCTCCGGGACGCTGCTGCCAAGAGACACCAACCGTTGTCCCTGGTCAAACCCAATCCTCTTAGCTTATGGCCTTTCTCACAGCCCTTCACTGCTGCAGGGCTGGTGTAACACCGCTCGCATAAATCATAGTCACAACTCTCGCATCTGAAGCGTGGCAAACCTTTCGTGTCTTTGAAGCCGCACTCCTGGAAAGCGGCGGTGTAGTGGCTGATTGTGTGGGTTCTTTGGAGGTATATGAAGGTATAATATGGGCAGTTCAAAATGAGGACTCTGAGGGATCCTCAATCCAAGTGTATATAAATGTTGCCTACTGCCCTGCGAACTGCTCGGCAAGAGTGGTCCTTGCTTCTGCATCCGCCCTCTTTGGTAGCATCGCAGAACCAGCCATTGTCTAATGAGGTCCCTAAAGAGACAAGGACATGGCCTTTAGTGCAGCGTCTGGAGTTCAGTTGCTCCAAGTAGCACTCTTCACAGAAATCAAAATCACAGGCCTCACCTAGGACACAAGGAGAACCGCGGGCGGAGATAATAAACAACTGTTTCAGGAGAACTGCTTCAGTTTCTTCCAATTGAAGCATGAAACAGTAACAGAAATGTAATTCATGATATGTCATAATTGACACTTATTAAAATTAACATGTGTATATATATATATATTACTATATTATCATATGTTTGACATTCCCTCCAAAATAAAACTCAAGTTGGCCAATGGCACACCTTCAGACTTGCTACCTCTGAGGCCCCGACACCGAAAGCGCCGTAGGCCCTGCGATTGATGAAAACCCGTCAAGCCACTTCGACACCCACCAGGCTGAAGCCGACCATCACAGCCCCAACCATTGTCCTTCGAGGTGCCCAAGCTCTCCAAGACATGGTTCTTTGCACATGTCATGGCGTCCCGTCGTCCGCGTCCTTCCGCGCGTCGCGTCGCGGGGCGACATCGGCGACTGCGTCGATGTCGACAGCGACCACCGATTCGGGCCAAACGAAGGCGATGGTGACCCGTAAACTGGGCGTCAAGTGACCAACGGACACGAGCACATCGAAAGCAAGCTTTCTACACTTCTATGACTTATGAACTATAAACCTTTCTGCATCTTTCTGTGTGAAGGTATATCAACGGTATATCTTTGAATTGGGTTCGGATTATATTTTGGATTTGTTTGTTTGGAATTATGTATGTTTCGTGCTCTTGGCTGCTGTCTTACGAAGGAAAAGGGAAAGGACACAGAAAAAGGACAAGCAATGGGCAAGGAAAAGGGAAGGGAAATAGAAAAGGAAAGGGAAAGGGAAAAGGGACAAGGAAAGGAAAGGCAAAAGGAAACGGAAAAGGCAAGAGGAAAAGAAAAGCCAACAAAGGCCAAAAGCCAACAAAAGCCAAAAGCCAACACCAAGCCACCAAAAGCCAACCGAAGCCACCAAAAGTCAACAAAAAGGGTCGGGACTTTAATCAGGATGTCGTTTTTTAATATTGGGATTTTTATTTGGGTGGTCTGTGTGGTTCTCAATGGGAGCGGCATTACAAGTAGAGATTTTGTCTAGAAGAGTCATCAAAAGCAAAGAATGCAATAGAAAACTAAAAAGAGAGATGTCGATGTGAATATCAAAGTCATAAAAAAAACTGATTTTACAAGAAAAGTTATCAAAAGTAGCGATTGTAATGGGTCAGAAGAAGTTAATGCTCACAAAGAGCGGGAGGGGGGCGCTGAAAAAACAGGAGCGGGAGGGGGGTGAACGCAAAGTATAGTGCCACAAAAGTCACACAAGCCAAAAGCCACACAGAAGCCAAAACCTACACAGAAGCCAAAAGCCACAAAAGCCACAGAAGCCAAAAGTCACCAATGCCACACAACCACTGACACAAATACCACTTGACTTACAAAAAGTCTCCCTTAAAATCACCCTCCCCACAGAAACCACCAAAAGCCACCAAAAGCCAAAAGCCACCAAAGCCAGAAGCCACAAAAGCCACAGAAGCCAAAAGCCACCAAAGCCACGTGACCACTAAAACAAGTAAAATACTACTTAAACAGTATCCCTTAAAATCACTCTCCCCACGGAACCCACTAAAAGCCACCAAAAGTCAAAAGCCACCAAAAGCTATCAAAAAAAGTAACAAATAACTATATAATTCCAAAATAAATTATACACACCCTTTTTTTGAATTGGGACCATCGGAACATCTGTCCAACAACTGCAAGGACAAATTGATCTTTTCCATTCTCCGGGTTCAGTGTAAATAGATGTATAAGCATATGTGCTGTCGTCATAAGAACGACGCCATGGGCGTGCATCTTTGATGGCGATCCACACCCATCTGTTCTTTCCATCACCGTTCGTCCTTGTTCGGGAAAAACACCGGGTCGCACAACAAGAGTCCAAAATACTACATGAGAGTCTCCAGGAGGACGAGACCAATAACATGAAGAGCCTCCTTAAACTTACAAGCGCGGAACCCATGAGCATGCGGAACCTGGCACTGCCATTTGCACAGAACCAGCGAAGCTTTACACAAACATCTCTGAAATGACATGTAATGAAGGCACTCTATCAAACAACTGTTGATTCTAATGGAGATTTACTGCTGCCATTCGGCGTCTTGCAATTGGGCAGCGGCCGGCAGCGTTCTCGAGTTGTAGGGCAAGTAACAAATGGTTGATAGCTCGTGGTCAATGGCCACGCAAAGGAATGAAGTTAGGTGGGCCCTGCATTTGAAGAAAGTCCCACCAAACGATGCCCTGCTTCACATCTGTCTCAGGCAGCTCTCTCAGGTGTTCCTTTTTGAAGCTCCTGATGGGCTTGCTTCCCTCCTCTGTGATTCTCTGCCTCCGGTTTGCATCGCTCCGGTGCCCCCCCCGGTCGCGTGACTAGTCGTCCAACCTCCTCGTGGTCGATGGTCGATGGCGGTCCTAAGTCGATGAGTCGAAGTTCCATCGAAACAAATCGAAACCACGAAGTCATGAATCGAAAATCGAATAGAGAAAACATGTGTTGACCACTAAACTAAACTGTAGTCAATAAACATTGACTTAAGAAAAAATATAAACAACCCCAAAACATGGAACAAGCATGTAATGACCATGTTGATATTTTTTGATTTCTTTTGTTGCTTCTTGGACTGATCTCAAGAAATGGACATGTCAAGACAAAAAAACCTGACATGGCATGTTGCTGGACATGTCAAAAGGTGCTCTATGTGTTCCTGTATGTTCAAGTGGTACACCTGTACTTTGACGGGGCACCAACCGTTACCTTTGGGATGACTGGACACATTTCAGGTTGACCTGAATCACTCTCACAAAGTAGGCACAACTAGTTGTCCTTGCATTAGAGATGTTTTCTCTTGCGAGGCCTGTTTTCTTCTGAGATCATGTTCATGCTTTAAAACCAACATGTTCATTGGTCCCACGCTCTTGTCACGGCGAAGACAATTCCGTGTTCTTTGACCACAGAACTCTCAAGGGAAACGTCAACTGACTGTGCCATCGATGTTCACTTACCATCAGGGCCCGCCTGGTTGGGCTTCATGGTCCTTCTTGGCACCCTGAGACATGCGGACAAGGGATGAAAAGGGACACAACGTGTTTTTGCTTTGTCTTCTTGGTGGGTTGGTGTCGGTTGGCGTTGGTTGGTGTCCGTTGATGTCAGTTAGTTGGTGTGTTGGTGGACTTGTTAGGAGATCTCGCCTTGGTGTGTTCAGTCGTATGTCGAAACGGAGAAACCGGGCCTTGGCGGCCTTGGACGTCTCATCTGTGTGGGATGCTCCACTCACTTCCTTGGTTTCCTTCTCGGCCTCAGCCCAACATGGGAGAGGGATGGAGAGAGTGAAGACTTGCAACAGCAACTGACCATCTGGAGTGGTGCTACAAGTCGCTGCAACTAGCATTGGACTGAACCTAGCAATGCCGATTTGGAGACTCTTTTGGAGTCTATCCTTTCACGTTCTGCGTCTGGATCAATCAAATCAGCATGTAGGATTATAAGTTAGCCCCAAAAGACTTTCAACTCAAGGTGCGTGGCAACTCATGTGATCTCATGTTTCTCTCTTGCCTCTCTCTCTCTCTCTGTCTCTCTTCCCAACTTGAAGAATGAAAACCAAATAACTGTTCGTATCTCATTCCTCTCTGTCAAGGGTGGGTTAAAAGCAGGTTCCCCACATTTTGTCTGAGTTCAGTCTGTGAGGATCGATGGTTCTTCTTTTTTCTCTTCATTCTCCGCCTCTGAAGGCTTTTTTATTGTCTTTTTTTCGTGGTCTCAGTCAGTCTCAATGTTCAACATGGCTGCTTATTCGATCTTCTTCTGTTGCTTGGTGCTCTCTTCTTTCTTCTATGCTTCCACATGTGCCGGTTAACCTCTCCGCCGGTCTCGAACACCTTTCGCACAGCTGAGTATCGCACACCGGGCGTCTCCTGGGTGCGTCGTTCTTTCAGCGGCACACGTCTCGCCCAGCTTAAGAATCCAACAGCAGGTGAGATAAGCCCTCAAAAATGCCGAAACGGCTCTAATCATCACAGATCCAATTTGAGTCATGAATGTGCCACAAAAAGAGTTGACTACTTACAAACATCAACCTGCACAATGCATAACACCCACCAACATGGACCGACACACAATATGTATCAATATATGCAGCATTTCAACCGACCCCGCCTCCTGAACGCCTCCAGAGACGTGCAGGGGTGACTCGACGACCTGTTCCCGGCGAGCAATAGCTTGGAATAGACTAGAGTCTATAGTCTACATGTTTTTCGCCTCAGCACCACATCCCCAGCTGAGCATCCTTCCGGAGTCCTCAAGTAGACTAGAGCTAGGCAGCTAGACGTTCGACTCCAAGCGTTGGGCTCCGAACCTCCACATCCAGCAAGCTGTGTGCCTCGGACCGTGTGGCTCGCGTCGAGGGGAAGTGAGGCCTTTTGGGTAGAAGCTCGTAGTCGCGGGGGGCAGCACACTGCCAGAACAAGTAACATCGACCATCAAACAAAGGTCCGTAGCAGATTCGGAGCACTTTGCTTCAAGGTATCTACCGAGAAGTTTCTGAGTTAAAACTGCGATGTGGGCTGAGCTGTGGAGAAGCAAAGCTGCCCTGTGCAGGTGTTCCGCTTCAACACCATCTCAAAAAGCTATTCTCACTTTACGAAACTGGATTGCACAGTTTAGATGAGCACAATGAGCACCAAGATTCCAAGTCAACTCCTGGATTACAAACATTGAAGAACATCCTGGATGACCACCTTCAATTGAACCTTCCTTAGAAGTTGAACAATCGGCACGAGGTAACGGGCCGGAAGATCTTGCCTGTGTTGCTGCCTCCCTTCTCACTGACTCACCTCTAGAGCCTCTTCACAACAAATCCGAAACCGTGGTGCCAAATGGTCCTGGCCCTGGTGGAAGTCTCTTCCGACATTTTCCATTGAAACAAGTGGGACCTCATGGGACCTCTAAACAATCTTGTGTCAACCAATGGGTCCTCGTTTCGTTCTGCACACCAAAAGAGTGGCCAACAGCCATGGCGGTGAATTGGTTGGCCTACAGGACAACCCAAAAGGACCTATTAGTCATCCTTCTTCAAAAACAGACCGGATGCAACACTGAGGAGCTCTTCCAAACCTGGTAGCTCAGAGCTACACCCCCTGGGTAGCTCAGAGCTACAGCTCAACGTCCGGAACCTCCCGGGGGCTCCCTCCCGCCTCTTCCTGCTCGGTGTCCACGGTCTGCTTCTCCGGACTGGACGGGGGCCTCGCGGGGGGGGGGGACTGGACAAGAAAGGGAACACGTCACTCATCACAAAGTACCAAACAAAAAGAGCACAAAGGACATATAATTAGGTGATATTAGGTGATATATCATTAGATATATATAGGAAAAACACATGCCCTTTCGTGAGGTGCTGCT